CCCCAAAACCCCAAAACCCCAAAACCCCGTAAAGTTAAAATGAATTCCAATCCATTAATTAAATTATTGTTATAATTAATAAATATGATCTTAAATAATTTCTTCAAGTTGACTTAGAGAGGAGCCCTCTTTAAGCCTCAACTCTCCTATTAATAGATGTGTTTCAATCAGGTAATGCTATAAACTTAAGCGAGATTCTATACTTAAGAAGCTGCTAAGACCTAACCCTCATAGCCTTCAACCTAAGCTTAGTCACCTAAAACAAAGAAAAGTAGAGCTCCTTCTCAAAACCAAGAAGTACCTAAAGCTGCTGAGAGCAATCAGCCAAAGACTGTATAACTTTTTGAAAGGAGAAGAAATCCATTCCATAAGCTAGGTTATAATGAGAATCATATTCCCCATTAGGGTAACTATGAACAAGTTAAGAAATAGAAATTAGATCAATGGGTAAATCCACCATACAACTGGCCGCCAGTCATGCCAAGACCTACTATGCACAAAGGGAAAACCCTAATGTTGGAATTAGAGAAGGAATATATGGAATCGATAAAGAAGAGTAGACCATTCAAGGTGCCAGCTTTTAGAACTGGAGATGTTATTGATGTAACTATGTTTAAGTCCCTATCTGAAGGTAAGTTCCATAAGTACAGAGGAATAGTTTACAGCTAGAAGAACCCACACTCACTAGACAAATCATTTAGAGTTTTCTTGAATGAAGATGAGACTAACATGGGTCTTTAAGTCAAAGAATTTTCTCCTCTTGTTGCTAAAGTCGAGGTATTCAAATTCGGTTCAAATCAAAACAGAAAGAAGCTAAATCACATTCCCAAACTAGACTTGTCAAAGTCAAAGACTATGGAACCAATAATTAAAGGTAGAGATTATAAATCAAGAGATAGAAGAGGAGACCAAAGTAAAGGTGACTCAGCAGATAAAGAGAAAGGAAAAATCAAGAGAAATACCACAAAACTAGAGCAATCTTACGAATGAGCTGAAGATCAATGATTTCAATGCTGAAGCATGGAATTAGAACTAATTGCAGTAAATCTTGATGATAATACTTTTACTAATGCTATTTAAAAAATATCATGAATTAAAATTAATATTTCAATTTTATTAGTAAACTAAATTATATAGGCATATTGAAACCATTATGATTAAGAAATGCAAGTATATTCTAAAGCAAAACCTCTCCAATTAAAAATTTTACAAACGCTTGTCTCTCTTCTATCACTTAATCTTCCTGTGAATGTGAACAGTTGCATACCCCCAAGACATAATACGCTTAATACTCAGCAAGCATTCCCAATCAATCCTATCTTCTAAAGTCATTAGTGGATCTGATGATGGTAGTTTCTTTGTGAGTGTGATCATCCACGAACCTACTTTTAGAGAAGAAGCTTTTTAGCTGATTTTGTTCATAAAAGTCATTTCAAAACAGGTGGAGTTAGCAATCACGAAATCCGCATCTGACCAATCATATTCCAAAATGTCACCTTAATGAGTCTCAAATTCAGGAACTTTTTCATAGTTGAATATTTGCCTTAGTTCTCCTCTGTCATTAGAGTACTTGCTTTTGAATTCTGTTTCATAAACTTCCTTCATTTACTATGATGCCTTATGCAGATTTTCAAGCAATTCAATGCCTACACACTTATCGAATTCATGCATCAAACAGCCAGTTAACACTCCTTTTCCAGTACCCTAAATCAAATTAGAGAGAATGGTTGTAGATTTACAGATCCAATATCATAGAACTTGCCTCCAGGTTAGTTAAAAACATTGTACTTTTTCTTAATATAAAGAAAAACTTGCATTACAGCCTCAAATTCCTAGTAATATAAATTTAGAGCGCAAATTAGATATATCTCTTACAATTTCACCATATGTTAAGCTGTTTGAAGCCATCGCCTTATCAAATCTCTCTTACTTGCTTATTGACTAATTAATTTATCAACAAACTTTATAGTTACCTTTCCTAGTTCACAAGTAAATTCTCTGCTCACTACATTAAAATAAGTATTCCTCTGTGATATGTTGGCTAAGTCATCTTGATTTATAAAACCATTAAACTCATCCTCTATCTGCTTCATTTTGTCTTCAGTTGAGTATATTATAGGCTTCGTTGGATATGTCATAATAATTTGATCTTAGCAGCCATCTAGACTACCATCGAAATACTTGTCTTGAGCCTGGTCAGAATCTTCTTCTTAAGGATTGGTTGGGCAATTATTTTCCATTGACAATCTATTAATTTAATATAGTCTCCCGATTTAAAATTATCTAGCAAATATCTTTATGTTGATGGGGTTTTGGGGTTTTGGGGTTTTGGGGTT